CAGGTGGGTGTGCCAGGAACAGCACAAGGCACAGCTTAAACTTAGGTGTCAACCTGGTGAAGCACCAAACATGATTGCTTATGTGTCGGACAGCATAAACAGCAAGTGATTGGCAGAGCTAAGTGAGTCCGTGACCAACAGATCAGATCTGAGCTCTGCAGTTCTGCCATGTTCAGTTGTGAATAGTGGTGGACAATTATAGAAGCATAGAAGACCTACAGTGTGGAAACAGGCTTTTCGGCCCATCAAGTCCACACTGACCTTCCAATAGCATTCCACCTCCCCACACCAACCTATCTCTGTAACCTGCATTTTCCTTGGCTAATCAAATTAGCCTGCACATCCCCTGGACACTATGGACAATTTATCCTGACCAATCCTTTGGACTGTGGGAGCAAACCGGAGCACCCGGAGGAAACCCACGCACACATGGAGAGAATGTGCAAACTCCACACAGACAGTGGCCCGAGGGTGGAATCAATGGGATATTTATAGCGCCTCCTCCTCCAGTGAGTTGTTTAATTGGGCGGCATGGTGGCTCAGTGGTTAGCACTGCTGACTTACGTGGTGCCAGGGACCCAGGTTCAATTCCAACCCCAGACGACTGTCTGTGTGGACCCGTGTCTGTGTGGGTTTCGTCCAGGTGCTCCAGTTTACTGCCACAGTCCAAAGGTGTGCAAGCTAAGTGGATTAGCCATGCTAAATTATCCATAGTGTCCAGGGATGCATAGGTGGGTCAGCCATGGGAAATGCAGGAATATAGGGGCAACGTGGTGGGGGTGGGTCTGGGTGGGATGCTCTTCGGAGGGTTGGTGTGGACTCGATGGGCCAAATGGCCTACTTCCATACTGTAGGGATTCTATAAACCTGGGTCCCTAGCGCTGTGAGTGCTAATCACTGTGCCTCCCAATTAAACAACTCACTGGAAGAGGAGGCTTCATAACTATCCCATCCTTGATAGTTGATCGCTGCACATCAGTACAAAAGAGCGTTGGGAACAATCTTCAGCGAGAAGGGCCGAGTGGATGAATGATCTTGGCCTCCTCCAGAAAGCACCAGCATCACAGATGCTGCAGTCAATTCGATTCACTCTACATGATATCAAGAAACAGTCGGAGGCACCGGATACTGCAAAAACTGTGGGCCCCAATGACATTCTGAAGACTTGTCCTCCAGGACTTGCTGCTTCCCTGTGGGAAATTACCCAGGTATGTCCTTTACACAAAAAGCAGGACAAATCCAATGTGGCCAATTACAGCCTTGTCAGACTACTCTCAATCATACAAGGTTACCTCAGCAGAGCTATCAAGCAGCATCAGCTCGGCAATAACCTGTTCACTGATGCCCAGTTTGGGTTCCGCCAGGGCCACTCAGCTCCTGACCTCATTACAGATGAAATTAGAACTATGGGTGGCTTTTTAAAATTCGGGGTCAGCCTCTTATGACCAGGATGAGAATTTTTTTGAAGGTTGTGTGAGTTTGGACCTCTATCTCGGAAAGTGGTGGAGGCGGAGGCAATTACTATAATAATAAGGTAGTGTTAGATCGATTTTTATGAACTCCAAGAATCCAGGGGTGGATGGAAATCGTAGAATTTGAAACACAAACAGATCAGCCCTGATCTTATTGAGTGGCAGACGGGCTTGAAGTGATGAATCTCCTATCTCTGCTCCAGTTTTTTATATTCGTCTGAGAGGGTGATGATTGTGTGGTCCTGAAACCTCTTTTTTTTTTCTGGGCTGCAACATTACATTTCACAGTTAGGTGAAGCTCTGCTTGTGTGTATGAATCCACAGTTCAGTATTCTTCCCCACTGGCATTTCCCAAGAGAAAAAAATAGTCAATGCTACTAATATATACAGCTTCTGCATTTCAAAGCCTTGTTCAATTCCTATGTGTACTTGTGTAAAAGAGATTTGGGAATATTGGTGTACATAAGTGGCAAGGGGATGAATTCATTACAGCTGTCTTGTTAGAGACAGTATGCAGTTGGAAATCAAAGAGCATTTTTGCTTCTACATGTTTGAACCCGAGTACAGCCCCAGTATCAATCTATAATTCATTTTCTGACTGTCTGCTGCCTCCTCTATTGTTAGAGCGGTCTGAGTTTGCTACGAGAGGGTAATGCATAAAGGAATTATAGATAATGCCCTTTGCAACAACTGTGCAGATATGGCATGAATTCATTATGTGCACAGGTGGAAGTTTGTTGGTATAGTGAGGCAGTGGGAGGGTGGTTATTTTTCTGAAAAATATGTCTTTTATTAAAGTTCTGGTCAGGATTTTTAAGCTGCTTAACATTTCAGCATGAAGTTGATTGCTAACTTCAAGTACATTTCTGCGAGCACTGATAAATGTATAATATAATTACCTTTCCAAAGAACTTCTTTCTTCCACAAACTGAGAGCAAATTATATTCATATTTCTCATGAGGTTTCTGCTAATACTTTTGTAAGTTAACGGTATCCTTTTGTTGGGCTGGGCTATTTAGTGTCACGTTCTGGGATATCCAACAATTTCAGATCATTTCTATGAATGGAGATAATTCCTTAATGTGCTTGTTTGTGGAAAATTAAATATTTCATTTGAAAACCCAGCTTGAAGTTAGAGTGCTTTCAGCATTCACAGAAAATATAGTTTGAATCTTAAACCTAGTAGAGATTTTCTTAAAAGTTGTAAAGATCACATTGAATATCTATCTCTTCTGTTCCAGATTCAAAGATTATTGTTGGACTAGAATTATTTGAGCAGCGCCTACAGACTTTTTTTTTAGTATGTATTCACTGTTAATGGAAATCGTAGATATTAACAGCCCAAAAGAATCCATTTGTCCCATTTGTTTGTGTTGCCCATAAAAAAAGCTATCCAACTGACTCCCACTTACCACCCCTTATTGGCTGTTCTAGCTCACTTGATTTGCTAGTCGATAGTACATTTCCAGAAGTGTGATTGTCTTTTTTGCTTTCCAGTTCAACCCATATGACCTCATCTAACATATTATAGTTATCACAGCTGTAATTGTTTCTTCAGCCAATATTGCAAACCTCCTTTATCATTCCTCTTTCTGTCCTGGTTAAAACCCTGAAATCTGGAATGTTGAGCTGTCATTCCTGTCCTTCTTTAAATCACAGTTCAATAGTAGTTATGATATCATAGTATACTTGCATTATTTTAACTATCCCCTAAGCTTATTTACCATATGCATTAGATCCCTTGCATTGAAGTTTGTACAGTTAAGATTACATCGCTCCTGTGTTGTTTGTTTTCTAGCCTTTGTTTTTGTCTGCCTTTCATATTTGCTTAAAAACAATCGTGCCTTTGCTCCTTTCCCTTTCTGAATCCATGTTCAGATCCCATTCCCTTGCAAAACTAGTTCAAACTGTGAATTTCAGTTGTGATTCTCCAGTTGCCGGAACGGTAATATTTCAAGCCAGCGTCCTCCGTGGGGAAGCAGTGGGAGTTGGGAACAATGAACTTTAGTAGCAGCCTCAACAATTTTGTTTTGCCTGTTTTAAATGTAGATCCTTAAATTTCACTGTTGCCAGCTGATGGAGAAGTCCTGCAGACATGGGAACGCAGTAGCTCTCCTTCCTGGTGGCAACGGTGTAATTCACATTGAGCAAGGGGTTGATTTCTGGCAGCCAGTATGTAGAAACAGGCTCTTGTCTGTGAAGAACATGCATTGAAAAGTTCTTGTTTCAGTCAAAATGTCAATGAATTGGATTTCTGTAGGGAACCTACTGGTTGAAGTTGAATAGACTATTTTATGTCCTGTGATTAACTTGCTGATAACATCTAACATTTTCTAACATCTCTAAAATTACAAGTATTACTTTAAGAGTGACAATACTTCTATGCAAGTAATAACCTTTGAATATCAGTAAAATAAATTATTTTTAATGGTTGCTTAACAGGAGGAATTTTAATAGTCTCATCAGGAGAAATCCTTGTACTTTGAAACATGGAATGGGATTTGGGATTCTAAAAATCAACCTGAACAGGAAGCTGGTGCCTTCATTTAATATCTATCCCAAAGACAATAGGATGCACAATGCAGTACTCTCTCTTGATTGTACATGGAGTGCCAGCTTTGAATACAGCAGAAATCGAAACATCGCCATGTGCAACTCTCCATCCCTCCCACACCTTTATGAATAAATATAATGTGCACAATGGCATTCTCCTGTGCTTTGTATTGAGTTACCCATCTCAGCTGAAATAAGAGTGATGATACTGTATTTACACTATTTGGCCATAAGCTAGGGTGAGGTTCTAATCTGAAAACTGTCTTGGATTGCTATTCCTTATTGCCTTTCACTAACCCTTGGCTGAAAATATGGCTGTGCATGAGTGATGAGTAAGGATAGGGTCACTGAAAAGGGAACAACTGGAAATTCATTAGTGCCAATAATAGATTCTAGCCTTAAGAATGTAGTAATTAATTAAAGCAATTTCACTGTTTCGTTCCATTGCCAGTGTTTGCTTTGAAGACATGCACTTGTTGATCTTTCTCCTATCTTGAAATAAAATATAAGTTTATTCCTGCATGAGACAACATCTTTTTTCTTCAAAAGCCTGTGACTGATATAAATAATTCACTTATGGAACCTTGAATTAATTGTTTTAGTCACTAATCCTAGATATTTTAAAATCTATATTTGAATGATTTATCATGAAGGTAGTTCAAATTTCAGTTATAACACCTTACTACTATTGGAAATATTAGAAACATACAAATACTTTATAAGGGACACCTTTTGTGTGCATCTTGTGCTCAAAACATTCGTATATGAAAGGTGACTGTCAGGTAAAAAACATGATGGCCATTCTGGACCAGTGGCAGTGAGGCTATTCTGGTTTTCAGTTTGGACTTTTAGATGTTTTCTCCTAAGCATCTTAACACAGATGAAACTCATTTGTGAAACTTGTTGTGGTGAGGCATTAACTCAAACCTACTGTAAAGCAGCAGAAGTTTATAGGAATGTGTTTTGATCCCGCAGATTTTCACTGCTAAGTTGCTGCATCTAAAGTACAAGGAGAAAGACCTGAAGACCATTCGTAAGAATCTGTCCCATACCAGGTAAGAATACATGATGAAAGCAAAGTACCTGCTTCCCTGGTGTCTCCGTGAGTAATTGAGCTATTAAGCTGGGATGATCCGACGTTTGAGCTTCTGGATCTCAGGAGTGTGGTTTCTGGCTGTAACTAGTCCCTGCATCATCTAAGTTACAGAGTCACAGTCGTACAGCATGGAAACTGACCCTTCAGTCCACCCAGTCCATGCTGAACATAATCCCAAACCAAACTAGTCCTACCTGCCTGCTCCTGGCCCATATCCCTCCAGATCTTTCTTATTCATGTATTTATCCAAATGTCTTTTAAATGTTGTAATTGTGTCCACATCCACCACTTCCTTAAGAAGTTCATTCCACATGTGAACAACCCTCTGTGTAAAATAATTTACAGGTCATGTCTTTTTTAAAACCTCCTCTCATCTTAAAAATCTACCCACTAGTCTTGAAATCCCCCAACCAACAAAAAAGACAACTACCATTAACCCTCATAATTTTATAAACTTCTATAAAGTCACCTCTCAACCTCCTACACTCCGGTGAAATATGCCCCAGCTTATACAGCCTCTCTTTATAATTCAAACCTTCCATTCCCAGCAACATCCTGATGAATCTCTTCTGTACCCTGTCCAGCTTAATAATTTCCTTCTTCTAACTGGGTAACCAGAACTGGACACAGAACTGCAGAAAAGGTTAACTAAGTTGTGACAGAGAGCAACAGCAACAGCATGAGTTCAATTCCCACACTGGCTCAGGTTACTATGAAGGACCCTGCCTCTCAATGTCTCCCCTCGCCTGAAGCGTGTTGACCCTGTGGTTAAACCACCACCAGTCATCTCTGTCCAGTGAGAGAGGAGCCCTGCGGTCTGTAAGACTCTGGTGACCTTATGTTGATTGGTTACCCATCTTCAACCCAACACACACAGGCCTATTTCTACGCATTCATCACTAAAATTATTCCTAGTGACTCCATTAAATCTTCATTTTGATTATCTAAGTTTAGGAAATAATGTTCCTACCTACTTCCTAATCTGCTCATTATTTTAGATTCGTTGTATTAGAAAACAGTGGACTTCAATCTTGATTACCATGTAACAGATTTGGGGATTTATAAAGGCTGAAAAGAGGTGCTAATTGAGCTGCACTGATAATGTTAAATTGTTTGAATTCCTGGATTTAGCCCTCATCTTTTGGTCATTTTGGCAGATTACCATAATGTGAACTGGCCCTAGACATTCTGAATGAAAAATCTGCAGATTTAGCTCTCCAGTGCTGATTAAAAGCAATTTTTGGGGAAGGAGTATTGATGAAATCCTTGAATCCACTTCCCCTGTAGCTGTGGCATGTTCTGACTGGCATGCAACAATGCATTTTAAGATGCCTCAGGGACTGAAGGAGAAGGTGCAGAGGGTTGCTTATGTGGAACTTGATGTATTGAGGAAGAGCAACGTGTTGTAATCACAGAGTAGCTGGATGCCATCTCTCTTTCTGTCCCCACTCTCCCCCTTTCCAGCATTTAGTTCAGTTCTGTCTGGCCTCGTGTCCTCTTCCCATTCCTCATCCAAAACAATAGGTTAGGAAGAAGGCAGTTAAACAGTCTGCTTCATCAGGTTACGTCTGAAGAGTAGCAGCATGCTTTTCTTTGCAGGTGAGGCCTTCATAGTCTTATTTTTATTCATTTGTGGGTCATGGGCATCACTAGCTGGATCAACATTTATTGCCCGTCCCCAGCTGCCCTTGAGGAGGTGGTGGTGAGCTGCCTCCTTGAACCGCTACAGTCCTTGGGCTGTAGCTAGACCCTCAATGCCCATGGTGAGTGAATTCCAGGATTTTGACCCAGCAACACTGAAAGAACAGTGATATGTTTCCAAGTCAGGATGGTGAGTGGCTTGGAGGGAGCTGGCAGGTGGATGTGCACCCATGTAACTGCTGCCCCTGTCCTTCAAGGTGGGAGCGGTCGTGGGTTTGAGAAGTACTGTCTAAAGGTCTTTAGTGAATTTCTGCAGTGCTTGCTCCTGCCACTACAAAATTCGGTGATGGAGGGAGTGAATGTTGTGGAAGGAGTGCCAATCAAGCAGGCTGCATTGTCCTGGATGGTGTCAAGCTTCTTGAGTGTTGTTGGGGCTGCACTCATCCAGGCAAGTGGGGAGTATTCCATCACCCTCCTGACTTGTGCCTTGAGATTGTGAACAGGCTTTGGGGAGTCAGGAGGTGAGTTACAAAGAACAAATAACAAAGAAAATTACAGCACAGGAACAGGCCCTTCGGCCCTTCAAGCCTGCTGCATTATTCCTGGCCTTTGTCCCGTTTCAAAGCCACTGTATTTACACAGCGAGTCCAGTTGAGTTTCTGGTCACTGGTAACTCCCATGATATTGTAGTGGGGGATTCAATGATGGTAACACCATGAATAACAAGGGGCATTGGTTAGACTGTCTCTTATAGGAGATGGTCATTGCCTAGCATTTGAGCGGGGTGAATATCCATTGCCCCTTGTCAACCCAAGCCTGGATATTGTCCAGGTCTTGTTACATTTGAACATGGACTGCTTCAGTATTTGAGGAGTCGTCGTGAATGGTGCTGAACATTATGTAATAATTGGAGTGCAGATCATTGATGAAGCAGCTGAAGATTGTTGGGCCAGGACAAATCACGGGAACTCCTGCAGAGATATCCTGGAGCTGAGATGACTGACCTCCAACAACCGCAACCATCTTCCTATGTGCCAAATATGACTCCAACAATTGGAGAGTTTGCCCTGATTATCACTGATTCCAGTTTTGCCAAGGTTCCTTGATGCCACACTTGGTCACATGCAAGGGCCTTGGTGTCAAGGGCTCTCAGTCACACCTGTCTGGAATTCAGCTGTTTTGTCCCTGTTTGAACCAAGGTGAGGTCAGGAGCTGAGTGGCTCTGGCAGAACCAAAACTGAGCAGGTTATTGCTGAGAAGGTGCTGTTTGATAGCGCTCTTGATGACACCTTCCATCACTTTACTGATGATCAAGTCTGAACAGGCAATAATTGGCTGGGTTGGATTTGTCCTGCATTTTGAGTACAGGACATACTTGAGCAATTTTCCACATTGTCAGGTAGATGCCAGCATTGTAACTGTACAGGAAGAGCTTAGCTCGGGGAACGGCAGGTTCTAGAGCACAAGTCTTATATGCTACTGCAGAGTGTTGTCAGGACCCATATCCAGTATCCAATGCCTCCAGCCATTTCTTGATATCATGTAGAGTGAATTAAATTGACTGAAGACTGGCGTTTGTGATGCTGGGGTTCATTGGAGGAGGGTGAGATGAATCATCCACTGGGCACTTCTGGCTGAAGATTGGTGCAAGTGCTACAGTCTTATCTTTTGCACTGACTGGTTGCGCTCTTCCATCATTGAGGATGGGGATATTGTGGATCCTTCTCCTCCAATGAGTTGTTTAATTGGCCTTCACCATTCACGACTGGACATGGCAGGACTGCAAAGCTTAGATCTGATTCGTTGGTTGTGGAGTCACTTAGCTCTGCCTATGACTTGCTGTTAAAGCTGTTTGGCACGCAGGTAGTCCTGTTTGGTAGCTTATCAGGTTGACACTTCATTTTTAGGAATGCTTGTTGGTATGTTCCCCTGTACTTTTCATTGAACTGTATCCTTCTCAAAAAATGTATCAGTAGCAAAAAATTCTAGGGTGTTAGTAAAATTCTGGTAGTGATTCAGGAAGCTTCCTGATATGTTGCAATATTGAACTTGAAATGGTGAGAATCCTTTAAGTAGTTCTTGACATTGATGTCAACATCAAATGTAGGCCCAAATGGCTGGGTGCTGTTAGCAGAGGCTATTAGGATAAACTCTAGCCACCAAAATGTCAAGTACTCTCTTTAATGAGTAGTAACAGACATTTTAAATAGTAATCAGCTGCTTAGCGAACCTCTGAGAGAATTTTCATGTTGTTGGCTTGAACTGCTTTAGCAAAATGGATCTTGTACTGAGTGTGAGTTAAGTTGTCATTTCAGCTCAAGGCCAAACTGAGCCACCGTAGAGGAATGTTAGCACCTGAACATACTGCCAAAAATCTCCTGTTTGCCTTCCAGTGAAATTCCTATCCGTTGTGTGAGGTTCCAAACTAAAAAAAGAAAATGATGTTCCACATCAGCCCAACCCAGTCTACACTTCCAGCTGCCTTGAAAAAGCAGCCAACATAAGTAAAGACTCCTCCCACCCTGGTTATACTCTCTTCCATCGAGCAGAAGATACAAAAGTTTGAAAACACTTATCAACAGATTCAAGAACAGCTTCTTCCCCGCTGTTGACAGATTTATGAACCAACCTATCATATATTAGAGTTGGTCTTTCTCTGCACCTTCTCTGTAACTGTAACACAAATTCTGCATTCTGTTCTATTACTCTGATGTATTTATATAAAGTATGATTTGTCTGGATTGCACATAAAACAATACTTTTCACTGGATCTTGGTACATGTGACAAGAATAAATGAAACCAAATCAATTGGGTAATGACACAGTGTGGGGTGATAGAAGCCTTCAGGGATTAGGATGACGCCAGTTCTATCCATATGCTGCGTTAGCTGATCTCCATCTCATGTTTAACGATTGGTCTCAGTGTTGCCCACCCTGAGGAAAACAGAATCAAATAAAAAGAGATTCTGGTCCTGATTGTAATCCAGTGGCTGGTGTGGCCACTGTTCAGGGCAGGATTGGGCCCAGAACACTTGTCAAGTCTCTGAGATGTAACAATCTACAATCATTTGCTGTGGTGAGCCTGCACAAGCAACATGGCATCTTGCTCACGTTCCTCGAGAATAAGCCTCAGCTTGAAGAGAAGCAGGGGGTTAAAAATGGGGGGGGGAGAGGGTAGAAATGGTTGTTGTATTGGCTTACTAATTGACAAATAAAAACAGCCTACTTTGCTTCACCCTCTTTTTTTTTCCCTTAATCAACCTGTTCAGAGATGTTATTACATGTCTCTGGAGAAGGTGGGACTTGAACTCAGGTCTG